GGTTTATAATTAAAAATTAATTAAATATAAAGGTTTATTTTTTATGTACTTTTCAGAGTATATAAAATTACACATGTTTTTAACTTTGTGAAACATGCGGCAACCATAAAAAATAAAAAGCTAAATTCCAACTGTATACGGCTAAACACTGTATTACGTTTAACCACTGTAGAGTTTAGATAATATGTACTTATATCAGAATTATACACTCTAATATAAGTACCAAGTTATCTCTCTCACAAATTTTTAAAATAAAGAAACCATTAAATTGTAATTTAAACCTACAAAATGATCAAATTGAAATCTCTATAGGTATGTATATATAATAAAGAAGCATGCCGTGGCTGGGTGATTAATTGATGATCACCACACTGCCGGAACTATTGGGTCGGTCTGAATGAAATTTTGACAGCTTTTGAAGCAGGGCATAACATTTCCTAAAAATCTCAGATGTTATTCAGATAATATTGAAATTCTAAGAATGTCAAATGTTCTGCGATTTTTATCAGAAACATAATTATTGAATTAAGTATAAGCGGTACTATAGTGCAGGTAAGGCCGCGTCGGGTAATCGTTATCTCAAATAGTTATAGTCGACTGCGATGTAATTTGTCAGATATCGAAATTGTACGTATAGGATACGATCTTCGATTTTTCATAAAAATCATAGTTCTTGGGTTATAAGCGGTATTATACTGCAGGCGAATCCGTAGCGAGTAAAACCGCTATCTCAATTGAGCGTATTCGAAAACCATTGAAAGTTCTAAGAATGACGTGTTCTTTGATTTTCCATCAAAATCATAGTTCTTGTGTTATAAGCGGTATTATAGTGGAGGCGAAGCCGTAACGGGTAAAACCGCTATCTCAGATGAGTATATTCGAAAAACATTGAAAGATTAAGAATGACGTGTTCTTTGATTTTCCATCAAAATCATAGTTCTTGGGTTATAAGCGGTATTATAGTGGAGGCGAAGCCGTAACGGGNCTAAAATCGTGAGTTACTAACCGAATACAAAGTGATTTATCCAGGGTTAATTTTTTCTTACAATCATCATGAGTAAGTTCCCTAAATTTTCTTATTTCTTTTTTTAGTTTAAATAATATTTATTGTAATCCCTTTTTTCAGGATTCCTAGCTATTTCCTTGATTTTCGCGCTAAGTTGCAGCTTATGTTTAGCTTTATCAGGTAATTGTAAAAAACATATATAATCATTAGTAAATATGTAAGTACTCAAGCAAATTTTAAGCATTTTTCAATTTATTTTTCAGTACGACAAAATCCAGAACAACCTACAGACTCTGATAACGATACGATGAAAAAACAATGTACCAAAAATTTCGAAATTATATCACATGATAGCGATTATCAAAGACTCTACGCATGTATAGGAAATCAAATAGTACCTTTACGATGCCGTCACTGCTTAAGGATGGAGCCAAGCCAAAGTTCAAGTAGGCCGATCACAAATTTAATAACAAATTAATTATCCAATTAACATTATCTTGTTTCAGATCTGTTTGATTCGATTTTTACGTCATTAAAAGCAAAAGAGCAGGGATGTTTGGTGGTGTGTGGTGATAATACGAATGGAGAAAACCAAGTTGGGGAGGGAACAGTAGGTGCTGGAAGTCTTTCTGGACTTGGAGGTTTAAGCGGCCAACTTGGAAACGCGGGACAAGCAATGGGTCTTGAAGGAAATGGAAGTGTAAAAGACATGAGCATTTCACCAGATAATATTCAAGGAAATGATAACTATATAAGTGATAACATGGGTCGTTACCTTTAGGAAAAATTAAAAGTTAATTTAGGATGATTATTAAAAAATTTAACTAAAAAGAACTTTTATACTCAAATAATTATTGATTTTTGTAGATTAATTAGAAATATTTTTATACAATGATGACTTTTTATACGATAATAAAATAAATATTAGAATTAGCTAGCGTTTTTTCTTACTGAAATTTTTTAAACACCCTGTATGTTGTGTCTTCGATATGTGTTCTTTAAAATAGTGCAGCGAATAATTATAAATAAGAATACCTCTAAAAAGGTATGTAAATGTAGAAACTTAATCTAAATTTTATACAAGAAAGTATTTATTTAAATTGTTTAGAAAATGAATTTCAAGTGGCTGTTTGATGCTGGCATATGGAGTTCAATGTTTAAGGAGAACAATAAGAAACTTTCAACATAACCTCTTCTATATATAACCTCTCCATCTGGAGTTTATTGCATGGTATTTATTTAAAGATAAGTTTGTATATTTATTTTCAAACTGAATAGTAATTAATTACACACTGTTACAATGGTAGAAGAAGATATAACAGATCAACTCAAAAATTTTCACGAAATGGAGTTAGATGATCGCATTGTAAAGGTTCGTAAACTTGTTTTTTTTTTAATGTTAAACTAAAATTTCTCATTCTGTAGGCTGTTGCTAAACTTGGTTGGGTGCAGCCTACCCTTATTCAAGAAAAATCAATCCCTCTCATTATTGAAGGGAAAGATGTATTGCTAAGGGCTAGAACAGGATCTGGTAAAACTGCAGCATTTGCCATTCCAGCAATACAAAAGATTCTTAATATCAAACAAACTAAATATTATCAAGAAACACGAATTTTAATATTAGCCCCTAGCAAGGAGCTTTGCAATCAAATATTCAATGTAATAAAAGACCTAACTGATAAGTGCTCGAGAGATGTTCATTGTATTGATATTTCACCTAAAGTGGATTTAAATGTGCAAAAACCACTTTTAGTTGAAAGGCCTGACATTATTGTTGGAACTCCAGCAAGAGTACTGCAACATATTAAGGCAGGCAATTTAAATGTTTCTAAAACACTTGAAATGCTTATCATTGATGAAGCTGACTTGGTTTTTTCATTTGGATATGAGTCAGAACTTAAAGAACTGTTAAAGTAAATATGTTCAATAAACTTCAACAGTATTTTCTACTTAAATATTTTATTGATTTTCAGACATTTGCCCAAGATATATCAGGCTGTTCTTGCCTCTGCAACTCTAAGTGCTGATGTTAAAAGTTTAAAGAGCTTAGTTCTCAATAATCCTGTTATTTTAAAATTGGAGGAACCTGACATAGCTCCATCATCACAACTAACCCATTATCATTTAGCTGCAGAAGAAATGGACAAAGCATCTATCCTGTATGCTCTTTTAAAGCTACATCTCATTAGAGGGAAAACAATAATTTTTGTCAACACAGTGGACAGATGTTATAAGTAAGTTAACTGATAAGTGGAAGAATTAGATTTTAAAAGCTATAATTTTAGATTAAAACTGTATCTGGAACAGTTTGGTATTCCCACGTGTGTTCTTAATTCTGAACTTCCAGCTACAATACGTTGTCATTCTGTAAATCAATTTAATCAGGGAATTTATGATATCATAATAGCATCTGATGAAAAGTCGTTAGAACAGCCTGGAGATAGAAAAGTAAAGTCATCAGAGTCACAAAAATCGAAAAGAAGAAAAGACAAAGAAAGTGGTGTCTCCAGGGGTATAGACTTCCAGTTTGTATCTAATATTATCAACTTTGATTTCCCTTTAGATGTCGAATCATACATCCACAGGGCTGGCAGGACTGCCAGAGGAAACAATCAAGTATTTAAAGTCGTTGGTTAAGACCGTATATCAAATAACTTAATTTAATTTTTAAGGGAAGTGTGTTATCCTTTGTAAGCATCAAGGAACAGCCCATGTTAAATGATGTTGAAAATCATTTAAGAAATGGTTCAGATACTTCAGTAATAAAGTAATTTAAAGAAAATGCAATTAAGGATGTCTGATATTTAATAATTAGTTTTTAGAACGTATCAATTTAAATTAGAAGAAATAGAAGGATTTAGGTACAGAGCAAAAGATGCTTGGAGGGCAGTTACACGAATAGCTGTCAGAGAGGCAAGGCTTAAGGAAATTAAACAAGAAATATTTAACTGTCAGAAGCTTAAAAGTTATTTTGAGGACAATCCTAACGATTTAAAAGTACTTAGGCATGATAAAGCTTTGCACACAGTTAGAGTACAGCAACATCTTTCTGATGTACCTGAATACATTGTGCCTCCTTCTTTGAAAAATTTAACAGGCTTAAATAAACGCAAACGAAAGCATTGGGAAAATTTCAGACCTACTGAAAACTCTGCATTAAAATACCAGGTACACAATCTTTATTACACCTACAAAAACGATGTGAAAATAATGATCATTTTTTTAACATTCTAGAAAAAGAAAAATAATCCCCTGGTTGCGATGGAATTTGAAGGTTTCAAAAAGGATAGAAACAAGGATAAGAAAATTAAAAACAAGAAAGGAAAAGTAAAATAATATAACAATTTTTAATTACCTATTATGTGATTTATTTGTACATTTAATAAACGATGTTATTATTTGTAATACTGGTATACTGTCTATTAATGATAAGTAGATCGTGGAAATCAGCTAATTAAAAATAAAAATGCACTCCTTTTCATCCAGATAATTACTAAAAGCCTATGCTTACTTTTAATAACATTTATTTTTCCAATTACTAATTTTTTGAAAAACATAAATCATATTTAATAAACAATGCTTCTAATTTATATTCTATTTAAAAAATGTATCCTTTGTGATCACAACAAAATTACATAACTTATTTGAAATAGTATATCATTTGTTTTTGTTCTTTATTTACGTAAAAAATAACCCTTTTGTGTAAAACAAGTTGTTATTTAGGTATTTCCTCAATAAAATGAACACGCAATTTTTTTCAAGATGATTTAATAAAAATCTATAAATTATGACTTATCAGCAACATATTAGCATTGCAAATAAAATAATATGAATGTTAATAATCCAAACACTTGTTAGATAACTTAGTCGTAGCTTTAATACTATATATAACTTCATGTTAATCTCTCAAAATATCTGTCCTAGTCTCTTTTTTACAATTACTGCAACTGCTATTACATTATACATAACTCTGTGACATCAAGCCCTTTTTCTGAATGGCAAAAGATACTGCTGTATCCAAAAATGTGGTAGGATCATTAACTGCTTCATTAGAATCAGTCTTCATAAGCTCATTCTGAGCATTCTGGTAATTTTCCAAATCAGAATCGCTAAAACTTGATATTTCTGATTGGTAAGGATCATTTACAGGATACAAAGAGTTTCCATCAACATTAGATTGAAGACCATGAGACTGTATAGCCATTAATATTCCCCTATCTTCAACCAATGTATCATTTTCGCAGGTTTCTATTAAATCTGTAGCATCAAATGGAGAAATTTTCCAACTTTCAAGAACTTTATTAATTGTATTATCTATAAATCCTTTAGCCAACTGCCTTGCTTGCCACTTTTGCAAGTAATAATCTTGATTTTTAGGATTTGACTCAACTAATGTCACAGGAATTTCATCAGATATTGATTTTTCAATGTTTTGAGAAACAGGCTCATCTTCTGAAGAATCATCACTGTCCATTAACTTTTCAGCTTTAGTTATTATATCACACGGTGTGTGAATTTTATGGTCACATTTAACACTGCTAATGTTCATATTTACTTCTTCAGCCATATTACTTCCACTGCCCATCCTTTCAAAATTACCACCACTATTTTTAGATGATTCTCCACGTTCCGAAGGCTCAGAATTCATTGTATCCTTCAGATGGTATTTACCTTTAATCTGCCAAACGTGTCTTGCTTTTTTAAAAGGTCTTTCGTCTTCATCGCCCTTGCTAATGTCTTGCTTCGACTTTAAGTTTTCATTTCCACGCCCCATATTCTTGGCAGTAGTCAATGAAGACAAATACGGACAAATTATGTCATTACTTATTAAATTATTACTGTTATATAACGCTACTTTAATTATTTTGCACCCCTAAAACACAATTCATCAATAAAGCTATCAAAATATAACACTGATTAACGATAACCTACATCAACACTTGTAGTTGTCAAAATAATGTCAATTGTCAAAAGTTCAAGGATAATTAAAACATACCAATGGCGTAGCATTAAATTTAAATAGGGCACAAAATAATTAGTTTATTTTAACACTAAATTATTCAAAATAAGTACCTATAAAATAATCTAATTCTGTTTTGAATTTTCAAATTAATAAAATAAGATAAATAACTTCTTTTTTAATTTTTTATTAGCATCATTTCGTGCAAATAACTGAAAATTATAGGAAATTATACATACTTGCATATAGTATTATAATTTTAAATATTCCTTGTTGTATTTAGTCAAACTAAAATAATTTCTAATCAAAATAAAACTGTTTAGCACACAATACTTTTTTATCAATTATTCTAGAATGATCATGAGAAGGAAATCCTTTGGTACTTTTTTTTGCCCGCATCCTAAACTAACTAACTAAATTATAATAAGTTTAGTACTATAGTTTTAAATAAAATACTAACAATAAANGAAGTAAAGAATTAACGAAAAAATAAATATTCTTGGTAAAAATTATATTTTTTGTGGCACTGTATTTACGTTAGAAACAAAAATGTTGTTAGGTTACATATTTATTCGAGGGCTACAAAACGTTTAATTAATTAATAGAAAATAGTTGACTTAAAAGGCAGTTGTACTCAATTAACTTAATTAATCGAGGTTCAACAACGTAGACGACTATTCTAATAAGTACAGTGCACCAAATTAAACTTTTATTACTAACCATAGTTAATCGATAAGGACTCTAAAACTAAATAAAATATTTTAAACACGTTTTTGAAATGTTTTCCTTGAACGCCAAGTGAAACGAAAGCGATTGAAATTATGTAATGAGGATATGACTAATTTTTAAAATATTTTTTGCCAAATTTGTATGTTTTCCCATCATGTTGTCACTGAAGCAACAGTTTTTGAATTAAACAATTTTCTGTGTGTGTTACGTTGGAACATAAATAAAGCGTAGACAAATATGTACAATACGTGTGTAGTAAACAAATAATAATTTTCGTAGAAAGTTTGCTGACATAATTGTCTTTATAACAATCCTTTTCGTACACTTACGAAAGAAGTTTTTTTTTCAAAGTTTCATATTGCTTCTTTTAACGGCAATTATTTTGAAGTTTTTAACTAATTAACCACTAATTAATTATATATATATATATAATTAATTAGTGGTTAATTAGTTAAAAACTTCAAAATAATTGCCGTTAAAAGAAGCAATATGAAACTTTGAAAAAAAAACTTCTTTCGTAAGTGTACGAAAAGGATTGTTATAAAGACAATTATGTCAGCAAACTTTCTACGAAAATTATTATTTGTTTACTACACACGTATTGTACATATTTGTCTACGCTTTATTTATGTTCCAACGTAACACACACAGAAAATTGTTTAATTCAAAAACTGTTGCTTCAGTGACAACATGATGGGAAAACATACAAATTTGGCAAAAAATATTTTAAAAATTAGTCATATCCTCATTACATAATTTCAATCGCTTTCGTTTCACTTGGCGTTCAAGGAAAACATTTCAAAAACGTGTTTAAAATATTTTATTTAGTTTTAGAGTCCTTATCGATTAACTATGGTTAGTAATAAAAGTTTAATTTGGTGCACTGTACTTATTAGAATAGTCGTCTACGTTGTTGAACCTCGATTAATTAAGTTAATTGAGTACAACTGCCTTTTAAGTCAACTATTTTCTATTAATTAATTAAACGTTTTGTAGCCCTCGAATAAATATGTAACCTAACAACATTTTTGTTTCTAACGTAAATACAGTGCCACAAAAAATATAATTTTTACCAAGAATATTTATTTTTTCGTTAATTCTTTACTTCAATTACAGTAGAAATGACAAAGATACAAGATAAAATAGGAAATTAATCATTTGACGAAAGTTATATTTCAAAACTAGAAACCAACGAGAAAACCATAGCAAAGTAGAAAAACCATATTTTGAAACCGATATCGCTAAGGAGATAAAATTTTAAACTCAAAATATTCATGGAAGTTATTTGCTGCATATCTAAAGTCAATAAACCGCTGAAGAATTGATTAACCAGAATTTAAAAATTATTACGAAACTTGTTCCACACCACAGATTTTTCGAACACGTTTGATTTATCCTGCTTGTTTCCGTTTCAAAAATTAACTTTTATGCAATTGTGTCACGAATAATAATAAGAAAAGCGTGTTTCAAAATATAAAAAATTTGCTAATCCGTTTGCATTCGAGGTCATGTTTCTAATGTGTGTATAATAAGAGATTGTATTTCTTCATTGAAAAGCATGATTGCTGTTTATTCTGTCTACTATTTTTACATTTTCAAATTTTTTCGCTTTTTCTATTTCATTGTTTTAATTTTACTAACAAGAACATGTACCTAATAGAGACCGCGATATTATGCTTAGGGCAAAAACTATTACAATAATTAACAATTTCAAGAATTACATTAATGTTAAAATGGTTTATTAACGATTCACAATATGAAGTATTGAAATTCGACTTTCTTGAAATAAAATTTAATAAAAGTTTTTTTTTTTATCTTTCAAAAGAAAAAATGATAAGAGATTCAATATATATTTAGCCTATATCAATATATGGATACTGTTGGATTTATCTTTTTGTACATAACTAAAAATAGTATTTCTTACAGATCACTTTTTTCTGTTCGCTTTTGATATTTTCCCTAAGCATCCCCCAAAATAGGCCAGCAGTTTCGGAGGAAGCTCTAGAGAAGACCTTAAATGACAGACGGTATCTCATGAGACAACTACAATGTGCTTTAGGAGAAGCCCCTTGCGATTCTGTTGGGAGGAGGCTCAAAAGTAAGCTAAATTTCCAATAAAAATAATTTCTTTACATCTCCACCCACTAAATAATATATGACATTAAACGAATATTTGTTTTTTCCCTTTTATGTAGGTTTGGCTCCCTTGGTTTTGAGAGGAACTTGCCCCCAATGTAGCCCCAATGAAATGCGTCAAATTCAAAAAGTCCTAGCCCACGTTCAGAAAAATTATCCTAAAGAATGGGGCCGAATTTTACAACAGTATTCGTCAGGTTGAGTGAAAAATTTGTCAAAAAAAGTTTGTTTAGCAACTTGTTGCTTATAGGCTTATAAATATTAGTAACAATATTTTTATACAATTCCATAAAATTAGTACCTATTATAAGCAACGTTTTCGTTTGTGTAGAAGTGACAAAACAATTAGTATTTCATTTGTGTACACAAGTAATTCACAAAGGACTGTGTTATTTAGACATTAAGGATTATTAAATAAACGATAAGATACGAACGTTGTAGTTTATTTTTTACCGAATACTACAAGATATTTCACGTCGAAAAAGACAGAAATGTGTAACAGTGATTCTGATTAAAAACAAGTGAAAACCTGCAAGATTCCCTTACTACATTTCTTAAGGTAATAAAAATTTTTAAACTCAGCCATTAAAAATGTAAAACTCTAAAACTTGTCAAATAAAATTAAATATTTAGAAATAAATTAATAT